AAAAAAAAAAAAAAAAAAAAAAAAAAAAAAAAAAAAAAAAAAAAAAAGAGAGCTTCGGCCTCAGTGGGTTTAACAGCCCCGGTGCCTCAGTCATAATGAGTAAACCACAGAGAAAGAATCACCCCAAGGGCCTAGCTCTCCTTGTAGCATAGCAGGGCCGAGGCCTTACAGAAACAGCAGCCCCACACACACACAGAGACAGAAATAAAGACCTGCACAGGCATATTGTAATGGTGTGTGTGTGTGTGTGTGTGTCCTGGGTTGAAGACATCGGGCTGCCAACCCCCAGATCTAATTAAAGCCCTTCTGTTGCCCGACTAGAGACCCTCTTCTTTATGTTGATCCGTCTCTCCCCCCTCCTCCAATTCCTTCTATTTCCCCTCAAACCCTCCCTCACAGCCTAACCCACACCGGGTGGCCTGACTCTGCAGAGAGAGAATAATAAATTCAAGGGGAAGGATGAAGGAGCAGGGGTGGGGATACCTGTGGTGAAAAGTGGGGAGTGGGATAAATGATAAGAAAAGGCAGATGGAGCCAAAGTAGATAAAAACTCGATGGGAGCCGCTGACCTCGACTGCGACAACCTGCATGGGTCTGCACTAGCACTGCCCAGTATGAGAGAAAGGAAGACAGCCTTTGAATCATGCCTCCAATACCATATTAAAAAAAAGGACATCAGGGTAACACTCTCCTCTCTCATATAATGGAAGCAATTCCACCAACAGCTGTACGTAATCATAAAAGAACATGGGCCCGGGCCTCCGGGTAAATCGTAAAATGTCAGCTCGGGTGTGTGTACATCGTGTTCCTACCTCTTCTGACAGCTGCGAGTAGTGAGTCTCAGCAGTGGCGAGGATGAGGATGGGGCTGAAAGAGGGCACATCCTGCAGCAGGGTGAGGAAGGTGCTCTTCACGGTGTCACTCACCGTGTCCCACCACTCAGAGATGTGCGGCATGAACACCACGCTGGGCACGCTCCGACGGGCCTCCCGGAAAACCTGCAGCCACACGCATAGGTCAAGCACACATCGCTGCCTAAATCTGAATAAGAGAAGAGCTATAGTGCAAATTATTAAAAACCTAAAAGCCAATAAGTTGCTTAGTCTCTCCAGGTTTCCACCACCACGCAAGTCCATCTGCAACAGATGGCCTTGCGTGAGGAATCTGCGTGTGTGTGTGTGTGTGTGTGTTACCTGAGCACAGGACTCCTCTGGCGTCTTAGCGCTGACGGAGTAGAGAGTGGGCAAATCCAGCCGGTGCACCGGCAGCTTGTCCAGGTGGTGCAGCAAGGCGGGGGCCACGTGGGAGCTCTGCCCTGAGCCGGGGGCCCCGGCCAGCATCAGACGAGGCCGGTATGCCGTGGGCTGTTGGAGGGCAGAGCTGGAAGCAGATGGGTGGGTGGTGAGCATAACATCCATCGCCTTTCCATCACCGACCAGCTCATAGCTCGGTTTTGTTAATGTGCTTCAGTAAGCTGATGTCGGAGTGTAAAGCTGCAGTTGATACCAACTTAACAACATGTGAATGTAACCTTTACTGGGAAACCACCTCAGTACATGTAGACAACACGAGCAACATTCTAGATATATTCACACAGCTTTCTGTCAGTCTGAAACATGTTCAAGGACAAAATGGTCGAGACACCAAAATGAGAGCAATCAGAACACAATGAAGACAGATTTGTGTCGCTTCTGAGCAACAATGAACTCTTTGAGCTGAACCCTGTGCTCGAGTGCTGTAGTTGGAACAGAAAAGAGAAAAAGACAATGAGCCAGACGCACGTTAAAGTGGTGAGAGAAAGAGTCGCGTGAGCTTCTTACAGCATCCACCATATCACGTGGAAGGCTTCCCTCGTGTGCCCGTCAGCAGCAGCACAGTGGGTGTTTGTACGCCACACGTGTATTTCTACTTCACGTTTTGGAAGTGATGGCGTCTCGCTCTTACACGTAACTCGTGATGCGTGTTATGTGCAACACTTCCTACAGGACACATGTAATTGGAACTCCTGGAGATTTGTGTGACCTTCCATGGTGGCGCAGGTGTCTGATAACAAGTTAACCAAACCCTGCTTTGTTTCTGCATCTGGAAAATCGATCAATCTACACGTTTGCCGTGAGGATTTTCTTTCGTATACCACTGTAGCAGAAAAAAGCTTCAGCCTTCTGTACGACCTAAAAACTAGACGCTTGATAGCTGTTTAATAGCTTCATTGATAAATGCTTCCAGTAAATGAAAAGTCATCTGGTTCCTTCACCCCTCTCCCTTTCTGAATAGATACAGCCATTGCATTTCTGATTTCAGAATTGCCTTCTCTGTATTCACTTTCATCTCCTCCTGTGATCTAGAGACACTATTTGTTGCTCCATATTGATGGGAAATAGAAGCGTTATATCTTAATTAGGACGTTTCCCTCTACTAGCACGTAAACTGTACTTCTAAAGCTCACTAGGTCATCTGTATTCTGTAGAAACATGTTCTGTGTCTGCTTGGTATTTTGGCATTAAAATTCTAGACAGAAAATATTTAGTAAAAATTATTTTCAATGAATGACTCACGAGGAGAAGTGGAGGAAGGGTCTGTGCGTTGCAGAAGAGGAGGGCGGCTGACTCTTTGGGGATACAGCAGGCTGGACTTCATAGATGGAGGCAGAGCGCTCCTCATTGTCATCGTCGCTGTACGAGTGGTCTTCAAGCAGCTGATTGTCACCACCTGGCACACAGAGAGAGAGAGAAACGCTGCTCATACAGCCCTGCATAAGAGGCAAACTAAGCTTTCCTCAGGTTTTTTAGGACCATGGCGGCAAATGCACTTAAAAGTTTGTCTCCACAAAGTTTAATCCTCGAAGCGGCCCTATCACTGACATTAATGAGGTCATTTAACAGAAAAAGTGACAATAAAAAAACAGAGCTGGCTTATTAGGCGAGATGTAATGGGCATTTAAAGCGATACAGCACCCTGGGAACCGTATGTCATTATTGGGTGCAACTCCTGTAAGCAATCTCCCACTGGTCAAGTGCTGCACTGTGGCTAATCTGCTGTAAACACTTGTGTTGACTGGAGTGGGAGTTGAGGTATTCAAGTGCAAGCAGGATGACTGGTTATCCAATCTCTGTGCTATCATTTCTGCATTCTCTGGGGGAGTGTTTCATCACACTTTAGGTTCAGCGTGTGAGGGTGGTACAGAGCATTTTGGTAATAAGGTGAGGGGGGAAATAAACAATCAAATGCTACAGAAAAAGCACACTAACAAGTGAGACGGGTGGCAAGGGAGAAGAGAGCAATAGAGTCGCCGTGGGAGAAGCAGCTGCCGGCGGTAGGAAAGTGAAAACAAATGAAACCATGGGCACCTGGTCCCAGATCCCTACCGTGTGTGTTGTCCCCGTCAGTGCACTGAGCGTGGGGGAAGACTCGGAGCAGAGCTTTCAGCACCAAAGAGAAAGAGCTGGCCAGCAGGGGCCTGAGGGTGGGGGACAGGGCTCGGCCGGGGGGGGCCAGGGCCCTCTGGGAGGCTGGCACGATTGTCGTAATGGCCTTGCTGAAGTCGGCGGGCCCTAAGACGATGGAGGCGACGTCCAGGCTCAGCTTGACGCTGCTGCCATAGATCTGAGGGTAGCGGCGGCGCAACGCCGCCAAGGCTGCCTCTGTGCAAAGTGCTTTGATGTCAGCACCGCAGTAGCCTGGGAGCCAACCACACACAGGTTAGTTATTGATTCGTTTAAATTGTCAAATGTGGGATTTAATAATAACCGACACTTTTACAACAAAAGGTGGCATACGGTCTCTTACCGACACATTTTTCTGCTAGTTCATCTACAAATGGCTCGGCCAGTTTGGGATTCCACTCCCGTGTGTGAATCTCCAAGATGTGCTTTCTGGCCTTGTGGTGGACAAAAGGAAAAGAGACAAAGAGAACAGAGAAGGCGGAGTCAGCAGACTAACAAGAACAGCATGTCAAAGAAACACCGGCTCAACTGCCATAGTGGCCTCCACTACGAGCAAACAATGTAAAAACAAGAAATAGAGTCGATGAGTGAGGCATGACAAATCACATCAGAAATATCATGATTAAAAGAACATGTGTTACTCTATCTAGATCTTATAACAGCAAGAGAAAAATCAAAAACGAATCTGCAGGAGTGAGCTTTCTGCACAAAACACCCTTCGTTTCATTGCCTCCACAGGACTCTGCTCTGATGAGCAGGCGTTAAGAACAAAGTGGGCTTTGTCGAGAATCAAGGGCAACAGTTTTCATCATCTTTCATCACTGAGCCAGATTTCACAAGGGGTTCTCTTTCTTTGGGCATCACGAGAGCGAGCTGAATTCGAATGTGGAGAGCGGATCGCCGTTTGCACAAGAGCAAGGATTTGAGATCCGTACTGGTGAGCTTAACCGGTCTCTGATTACCAACGATCCCACGGTGCGGCGGCTGGTCAGCCCGGCTCGATGGAGAGGAGTCACCTACACGGAGCTGTTCGTCTGACTCACTGTCACATGTGAAAAAAAACGTGTGTGAAAAAAAACAACAAAAAAAAAAGTCCCCTCAAGTGCGAGATTAAAGCGTAAAGCATCGCTATAAATCTTCATAGAATTATTTTAAATTTTCCAGACACATAATGAGCATCTGCTTTGCCATTTGCTTATTGGATCAGAACATCTAACAGCGAGGAAAGAACCGTGGAGGAGACTCTTAAGAGCCAGAGGGCTGCTTGTACTCATTTCACCGCACGACTCTTACGAGTAAAACACCATTTACTTCTGCAATGTATCCAGCATCCAGCTGGGCGTGCATGTGGCCGTGTACAGCGCTGTATGTACATTAACTTCTCCTTACACAGAATATTGCATTCAGATTCTGTGGTACAACAATATCCTAAAACCATTGAGCACGTTGGACTTACGCAATCTTTTAGGTATGCAAATAAAATAATTCTTTCTCCTTCAATGAAAGGATCCATCTAATGAAAATCAATGCAGTGACAACAAGACGTTGCATGTGTAGTTTGGGTGAATGAACACGTGTTCAGTGAACACGATGTCGACGGCGCCTCACCTTCTTGTCGGGTAGGTTGAACAGAAACTCCCGGTCAAAGCGTCCAGGCCTCCTGAGTGCCGGGTCGATAGAGTCAAGTCTGTTTGTAGCACCGATGACCACTATCTCCCCACGACTGTCCAAGCCATCCATCAAGGCCAGCAGAGTGGAAACTATGGAGCTAGACGTGGGGGGGGGGGCAATGTAAGTACATGTTTACAGCACAAATACTGAGACAATATTGACATTGAAATTAAACTTCCGTCCAGAGTTACATTTCACAGTAACAAATATTCCATTCTCTTGACGGCAAACATTTCCATAATGATAAACTGCACGCTGTGCCTGCATAATAGTACACCTCCTCACCTGCAGTTCATGCTGAATAAGTACGAAATGAAATAGACGGCAACTCAAATTAACAAATATGAACTCAAGTGTCATCCGAATGAAGACAATTTCTTTCTAAATCAAAGCTGCAGTGCCGTGACCGTAGTCAAGAGCAAGAAAACCTGCACCACCTATTGGCAAGGAACGTACCAGCAGCAGCAGCAGCAGCAGCAGTTCAGGCCTGCAGAGGCACACAGGCCAATGTGCACACAAGGAAAAGCAGTTTTTGAGAGTTTCGCCGCTGCGGGGTAGCGTTCAGGTGTTCTTAATCAGCCTTACCTGTGTATCTGGTCCTGCCTGCTGGAGCGAACAGGAGCCAAACCATCGATCTCATCAAAGAAAATGATGGATGGCCTCATCAGGTAAGCCTGACCAGAAGCATACACAAGACAAAGGTCAAACCATTAGAAAAAAACAGCACGCTCATTGAAAAATAACTAAGCTAGCTGGGTTCCGTTTACTTAAATAGAAGGTTTTCTCAACAATGTGACGATATTAAGTCGCAATAGCCGAGTTAAAAATATTCTACCAGCAGCCACCAGTGTTCTGTTTACATCGTGAGGTCATTTCAGCTCAAGACACTGTCCAGTTCATCCCTTTCCACCTCACCAGTGTGCCTCACCTGGTCAAAGAGCAGGCGGAGCTGGCGTTCTGATTCCCCGACCCACTTGCTGAGGCAGTCGGCTCCTTTCCTCATGAAGAAGGAAACCTTCTTGTCTCCCTGGCTACACTCGTTGGCCAGCGCCCGTGCTACCAGGGTCTTTCCGGTCCCTGGAGGGCCGTAGAACAAACACCCTCTACGAAGGGAAGGGAGAGGAGATGGAAACCGTGTTCATTTGATAATGGCAAAAAGTAAGCCACTTTCATATCTGGCATCTGTGTACCAACACAAGCATGAAAATGCCCTCATGAAAGTGACATAAATACATAAACACATTGGAGTTGTTCTCACCTGGGAGGCTGAATCTTAAACCTCTCAAAGATCTCAGGATAAAGCAGTGGGAACACTACCATCTCCTTCAGAGACTGAATGTGATTACTGAGGCCACCCACGTTGTCAAATTTCACCTGAAGAGAAAACACATTTGTAACCGATGAAAACTCTCCATTCAAAGAGTAATTGCATCATAAAAAAAGGCTAAAACTGTGTTTTAACGCGGTGTGTATTAGTGTTTCCACTCACTGAGCTATCGAGGTTCATGGGGTCCACATCAGCCAAGCTGGCACCCACTTTGGCCCGATCACGCAGAACCCCACTCGACAGGTCTTCTGAAGTCAGGTTCATGGGCAAACACCTGTGGAGAAAAATAGGAATGACAAGTATTTTAATAGACCCAGATCTCAATTATTTTAAAGTTCCTTTCAAAAAAAAAATACCAGAAAAGTGTTTCAAAGCAAATAGAAATTAGAGGAAGATTAAAAAGCAGGAAGAAAGAAAGCTGCAGGGTTCACCTGTTCCTGGCTCGGGTCATGCTTTTGCTTTTTCTCCGCTCAAAGCGCTCTTCATCAGAAGACGAGGTGGTGTCACTGCTGTGAATGGCATGTTTCTTTACTCTGGCGTGGTGAGACAATCTAGTATCAGTATCACACCGTCACATTCCTGACTCAGCAGAGACTAATGACACCTTTTTTTAATAACCACAGCTCAGTTCATTAGTGGAGGCAGTAAAAAAAAAGGCCGCTCATGAGTTACATGTTTAGTGTCAGACTGGACCGGGACTTTTTATTTCTACCAACCTTATATGGCTTCTTCTCGCTGGGGATCTGTGGGTGTCAAAAAGTGAGGGGTTGCTCTGTTTTCTGTTCACAGGTTCTGAGAAAGCAAACACAAAGCGACTGGTTATCAGAAGAACAAGCCGTAAGAACAGTTTCAAACATGATTAAACGGAGAACAGCTCAACAAAATGTGTGTACAAAAGATCAGTAATTACCAATAGGCGGTGCCTCATATCTCTGCACTGTTTTTCGTTGCCTCAGGTTGTACGGTCTGTCATCCTCCTCTCCTGCCTCTTCTGCTTCATCCCCTTCGTCATCCTCATCCTCTGCATCCTCCTCCTCTTCCTGGCCGTGAGAATCTGACAGTCACAAAACGCAGTTTCAAGCTTCAAATACTTAAATTAAAGTCCACTTTACAATCGACTCTAGATTGTTTAGTGTTGATGAATTCAGGTAAAGTAAAGGTGGTTCATTGGGTTTCCGTGATCCCTCTCTCTCGCTCCACTGATTCATGAGAGTAACATTAGTGGGAACCTGACCTCCAGTCCCTTCCTCCTCTTCATCCTCCTGCTGCTCATTTTTGCTCAGGACTTTGTGGTGTGTAGGCATGCTGAAAGTGCTTCTGCGCATGGACTTCCTGCGCTTCACCCGAGAATACATGTCCATGTTTTCCTAAAAGATAAAAACACGGAGCCTTTACACTATCACATTTATTCACATAAGATCATCCGGCAGTGGTACTGTACTGTACTCTTCTAGCTCTGGGTCGTGCAGCAGGGCCGCTCTCACCTCCTCAGTGTCTCCGGTCCACATGCGGAGTCGCTCCACCTCACGGTTCTGCCTGATGCTGCTGATGTTGTCCATCTCCTGAAGGACAGCCTCAGCAGTGCTGCGCGCGCGCACACACACACACACACACACACACACACACACACACACAC